TTTAAAACCGACTTAGATAAGGCCGTCGTAGATGGATAAACATATCTACGTCAGTTACGTAAAAACTGACTTAGATGTATTTATACATCTAAGTCAATTTTAAAAACTGACTTAGATGTATTTATACATTTAAGTCGATTTTCACAAAACTGTCTTAGATGTGCACATATATCTAAGTCGATTTTTATCGAAACTGACTTAGATGTATATATGCACATCTAAGACGCTTTTTATTTAAAACCGACTTAGATATATATGTGCACATCTAAGATGGTTTTTATTCAAAACTGACTTAGATGTGCATATATACATCTAAGTCGATTTTTGCATAGAACCGCTGTAGATTGTATTTTTTTTTAACCAGGTTAATTTTTAAAATAAAACTGATTCAATTATAAATAACCTGCAAAAACTGATTCAATTATCCAATGTAAGAGAAACCAACAGAGACCAATTTGGGATTATTATCATTATATATAATACTAAAGAAACAATATACTTGGAAACAAAAAGAGGCTAATCTAGTATCCATAAAGAAGAGTTTTTCTCTTACAAGGAGAAGAGAAGATAAAAAAAATTAGGTCACACTACATTATACATGCACTGGGCAGCCTAATACTGAAACCACATTCACCTATTTCTAAATTTTACATGTAATACTAGACCTTTCAACATGATCTATTTCTAAATTTTTCTAAAAACAAATTTCCCCAATGAATCCGAATGTCTTCCAATTTGGTTTCCCCCAATGGTGTAGCATCTTCAAAAAGCTACAACATATATACATCATATATTAGTTACATCATAAAAAGCATTAAAAGAAATTAACAATATTTTTAAATGTACCTCACTCCAACCATTTGTTACTCCCCCTTAAATTATTTATGACATCCAATTCATGACATAGTATCCACATTCATAATGTCCTTGTTGTTTATAACTCTAAAACGAACACCAAATAAAGTAGAATAAATAGTTTTGTTTAATTAAGGTAATAAAAGAATTTGTTAGGCACATTGAATTTAATTACGAACCACTTACTTACCATGGGGTAAATCCATTCTAAGTTCTTTGACAGTGCAGTAGATATACCACTCATGACATTATACACAGCCATAACACTAAAGAAAATAAAATGAACGTAAGTTACATAATTAAAAATTTATAATAAAGAGCATGAAAGTAAAAAACGTATTACAAATTAAAGTTTACCTTTTAACTAAATGTTTGACATGTATAGTGGGCTTATGATACAAAGAACAAAACCATACAACAACATTACTCATAGGACAAAGAACCAACAACTGCCAATGATTTCTACATTGAACCAACAACAACCTCCCATTTAAAAAGTTAACACAAGGACAATAAAACTTCCCATTCAAATCTGCTTGATTTCGTTGAGCAAATTCCAAAAATTGTTCAATCCCATTTTGATACTGATTGGTGATTCTTTTAGAATTCATCCAACTATGATCCATTCTACATCACAAATGCATGATATAGTTAATATGCCACATCTAACATTTATTTAATATTCCAAGATCAATCCCTAAAATACACCTTGCTCAACACTATAGAAAAGGGGTATATAGACTTTTGCCTGTCATGTCCACAATTATTTGATAGGTCTATTAGTTATATTAGTAATAAGTGGAATTTTTAAGGGGATAGGAGTTGAGAAAAGTATGTCATTTGGTGATATAGAATTAAGACTATGATATAGTATGTCATTAACAATATAGAATTAATAACTGAAAGGAACAACCTACATAGTCATACAAGCCTCTTACAATGCCACTGATTAGAGTAACCACCCCAGAGAATCAATGTCCAGATTACACAATCACAAGAAAACCTGCATTTATTAATAAAAATAATTAATACAAGTTGTTTGCCTAATAGAAAGGGAATCTTCTCTAATGAAGACCATAGTACAACACTAAAGAGAAGCCAAAAAATAGGATCCTATCCATACTTTTTTGTAGTGTTAAGAAAGTGAGAAAAGGTGGTAAATTATTAGACCAAAAGAAGAATGAGTTTCTTAATCAAAAGTTATACTATTCTTATGCAAGTATCTTAATATATATATATATATATATATTAATTATGACAAGAATGATTTTAAATTTATTTAATAAATTCATCACACATGGTCAATGCATATACTACTTTATCAATTAAATACGACTTATAATATTTGCACCATTACCCTCTGTATGGTATGTTTCTTACATGACAGATTTTAAGATTTTGTACCATCATGCTCAGAACTCAGAAGCAACTACAACCTTTGTTACCATTACCCTTAACGTGGGAAGTTGTGTATCCTCCGGTCAAAAACTAATATAGCTTCGTGACATAAGTCATGTATAAACTCGTGGACTTATGTTTCTACCTCCTAGATCGAGGGTCAACGTCGGTTATATGTTAACATTATGGGATTAATCATTATTTTCTTTTGTATGCATTTATTTTGACGTTAAGATTTAACATTTAATTACCTTTAATTAAAATGTACAACACTTTAGTATTTTATTTTTTACGCAAATTATTGAAGGAAAACTTCTCTAATTGAAGAATATAACAAACCGTACCTGCAGTGCTCTGCACCTGAAGTTTTTTTCTAATTGTATTTAATTTCTTCTGGCAGAATTATTTTTCTTTTTAAGGTTGTTCATCAAGTTTACAGGTTTGTCGGGTGATATGTGTAGTTTGTAACATAAGAAAATTTTGAGGTTGATAAAAAAAATATTCTCTCTTTTTAAATAATAAATAATTTTTTTTATTTGTCATACTTCAACTGCATTATATAAAAAAATTATGAAAAGGTATGTGTTTACAAATTAATTTATTCATCAAGTTCCAAACAGTTGTTGGCAACAGTGTAATTAGTGAAAATTGTATTTTTAGCCTCAAAATAATATAAAATATTGATTTTAATCAAATTTAATATAATTTTAGTCTTTCATTTGAGACTAAAATGTGTACTCAAATATGGAAATTTATATTTCAGAGTCACTATTGGCAGAAATTAACTATGGCAAGTAGCCAGACCATTTAACATAGAAACAAAACAAAATTTGCTATAAAATTAAGACAAGATTGAGTAGGTGAACCTTATCAGCCAATCGCTGTACAAGAGCTTCCCTACTTTGTGCCTCTTCAACTATGCGAACAATGTCTCCCATAACAGTCTCGCCACCTGGTCTCCGCACCTCCACTATAAGAGTTCCATTAAGATTTATACTTCCAGCTGCAACCTCACTCTGCAGAAATAAAACCCACCAACCAGTCACTAAAATAAACTATACAGTACTACCCCGGGTACAGAAATGTGAAGGGCTCAATCATATATCTACAGAAAATGAATTCTGCTCATCATCAATTAAGATGTAATCAAATGGTTTTCTTTTTCTACTGATAAATTGTACACAATGCACAGATGAACTTAGAATCAATGATCACAACATCCACAGGTGCTCAAAGGAACCAATAAAAGCTACAAGTTAAGTCAAAAGCGAAATAAATCTCAGATTATAACAAAATATGTTGAGATAGAATGTACCCCAGTTACTTTTGTTACAGGAAACCCCAGTTGAGTCAAAATATTAAATGGAGTTATAGAATCACAGTTTGTAATTAACTTTAAGCAGATATCCAATGCACACCTTGGACTTATTACCATCAGAATGGAAAAAGCAAGAACAATCCATTTTACACCGTTAAAAAATGATGAAAAAATATATATGTTAATTAACCAAAGTAAAAGTCTCATGGTTCATGGTGCATACTTAGTAGTTGATATTCTATTACAGGAAAACTAAATGCGGTGTGAATAAAATGAAACAGTGCTTAACAATCACAAAATAAGAGGAAACTACCCACCTAAAAATACAAGAATATACCAAATGGTTAAGCTTTGATCCATTGTAAAGGCTAGGAGAAAAAGAAAAATCTGGAAATATTAAAATAAGATAGAAGGTTTGAGAACTTCCACATAGACATAGAAAAAGATGAAACCATAGGTAATTTGCAGCTGGAAATTGATTTAACACATGAAACATGTGCATTACTTTTGTTCACAATCAAAACTGTGCAATTGCTAATAATAAATGAAGAACAGGAAAATCATGATAATGCATGATTAACAGTTCAATACGCATCTAATTAGACTAAAGATATAATATTATGGTATATGAAAAATTCAAGTTCAAATTATAAATAAAAATGTCAAAACCCTATCTTACTAATAATAACAAAAGGGGAAGGGGAAATGATGTAGGAATCAAAGAAGGAAGCTGTAAGAGTTTTGCAAACACATCAATGGCAATCACCTTGGCAAGGAAAACTGCATCAGCTATAAAGGCTTCCCATTTCTCTTCTTTTACTTCCTAAAACAGAAAAATGACACAAACGAGCAGGCAACTTGACGAGAGCCAACACCGTGAAAACCAGCAGGAACGAGTAAAGTAAGCAATCTGTAAAGTGACACAAGCTAGTGTGTGAGAGAGAGTGTTACTGGGTTGCGGAGCTGCGAACGATTAAATAGGAGAAAGTTAAGAAACGGAAGAGATAATATGGTTTTGAGACCAAACACGAAACCTAGAAAAAGAAACGAAGAAACAGGAAAAAGCGGCTTCGAGTTCAGCACCCAAAAAAATCTCGAAACTACGTCGATAGAGGGAAATGAGAGAATGAAGAGAGAAGATAAAGAGGAAATACCTTGTCGTCGTTGAGGCTGTGCTCGCCGAAATTGACTTCGTTGAAATATGAGAGAATGAAAAGAGCTTTCGAGAATTGAGAGAGAGAACGAGGGCTGTGGCTGAGAGACTGAACGGCGCGCATGAATTGAGAGCGCGGGCACGAATTTTGGGTCTCCATATAAGTCAATTTTACACAAAAAAACGTTGTAGATCACTTAATATCTAAGTCGGTTTTACTAAAAACCGTCGTAGATCACTTAATATCTAAGTCGATTTTACTAAAAACCGTTGTAGATATATTTGTGTAGGCTATTCTACTACGGGTATTCACTAAACCGTCGTATATAATGTTCCTTTTATTTACAAAAATGCCACCGCGTCTTATTCTACATCAATTTTTAATAAACCGTCTTAGATTGGGCGACTTAGATTATCCTTTTTGTAGTAGTGTTGATTCCCCATATAATTCACTTCTTCACCTTGGGAACTAGGTGGTTCGACACAATAACCATTAGGGTGGTCACCTCCACAAAAATCACATAATAACACTTGTTGCATAGGATGGGCATTAGCTTGCATAGCTTGAAGTTGCTGAGGTAACTTGGCCATCTATTGATTCAATGCTTCAATTTGTTGAGAAAGTAACTTGTTTTGAGCTAACACTGCATCTTGAGTACTCAACTCCAAAACTCCCCTCTTGTGTGAAGAGCTTCTACCATGTTGGCTCCTGAAATCTGTGGAGGCCATAGACTCAATGATGGTGATAGCCTCTTCGGCGATTTTGAACATAACTGACCCTCTAAAAGAAGCATCTAATATCATCTTGGTTTGAGGTTGTAACCCATTACAGAAAGTTTGAACTTGTAGCTCCACCTCAAAATCATGATTAGGGCATCTCCTCAACAGTGATTTGTACATCTCCCATTCTTCACATAATGGCTCATCTGCACCTTGAGCAAAGGTAGCAATAGCAGTTTTGGCCTCAGTGTTCTTGGAAAGGGGAAAGAACCTGGCTAAGAATTTAGTCTCCACATCCCTCCAAGTGGTTAAGCTTTGGTTTGGTTGAGAATGAAGCCAAGCCTTAGCCTTCCCATTTAGGGAGAACGGAAACAACCTCATGAACAATGCCTCTTCATCAGCCCCTGAAACTCCAACTGAACCACACAACTCATAGAAAATGTAGAGATAAGTATGTGGGTCTTCATGATCCAGGCCAAAAAATTGATGAGAGCTAATGAGCTGTAGGAGTGCGGGCTTCATTTCCGCTAGTCTCTCATTCATTGTGGGCCTTACCATGCTAGAGAATTCCCTCGGGCTAGTGTAGATGAAAGCATCACCTATAGTGCGCCTCCGATTCGGATTGTCATTGTGAGGACCACCTTCACCTCCACCTTCCACAGTGAACTCTGGAATAGTAGAGACAAAAACTTCAGGAATATGAGTGGTTGGTTGACCAACTGGATTTGCTCTATTTCTCCTTCTCCTCTTGTTGCTATTATTCCTTCTTGCCGTGCGTTCAATCTTAGGATCGCTCAATAGCGGCTCAGAAGATTTGGTCCCTCTGGTTCGAATAGTACTTTGCATACAAGAGAAAACTGAAGACTAGAGTGCACAAGTCAACTTAAAGAATTCATTGCTAAAATAAAAATAACAATAACAATAAAAGAACAAGTCATAAATAGCTATAAATACAAAATTGCCTTACTAATCCCCGGCAACGGCGCCAAAAATTTGTTGAGATTTCCGTTGACATTAGTTTCTGTCTTTTTTATAAATCATTTTTTTATTATATCAACGGACGAAAACACGGTAAGTATCCCGGTCGTTAAAGTAGTAAATTTAAATTTTATCCACAAGGACTAGTAGGTAAAATAAGCATTTAATGACTATTTGTGACTAAAGAATAATTCCAATTTTTCATCGGTTTTCATGCAATTCAAATAAAGGTTATGACTATTGAAATGTTAAAACCTATAAAACTATTTGTATGTGTGTGTGGAAGGGATAGAAATGATAGTATGATTTTGTAAAATTGTGGGGTCAAATATCACCAAACTTCACACTGATGAATCTTTGTTCTCTTGTTACATTCATTGACTAGTCAACCCATAAGTTTACTCAAACCTAATCCCTTAGAGCAAGAGCCTAGGTGCAGATAGTGAATATCAATTCCTTGAGTATCCAATACCTACACCCGCATTACGAGTTAGGGTTTAAGACTACTAATGGGCCAAGTTCCATTCCTAGATACATTTCTCACTAGGTATTTGTTTTAGAGCTAGTTCAAAAGGCTATTTTCCAATACCCAATGGACTCTATATCAAGCAAAGGAGGATCAATCCAAAGCAAGCATTAAGAATAGAAACATAACACAACAATGAATGAAACAACATATATATCATTAATAAAGTGAAGATTACAAGAGAGTTTCATTGGTTACATCTAACCCCACAAAATAATGGGTAGAACCGCTCAAAACAATGAGGGTAAAACAAAAATAGAGATAGAAGAGAGATGGAAAAATCGAAGGAAAGACTCACACATGAACGGTCCCAAGCACCGGGAGTCCCTTCCACAGCTCCTAGAAGTTGCCCAATATGTGAATGAGGGGAGGATCCTCGAAGATTTGATCAAATATGAGCTAGGTGAGACAGGATAGGGTTTACACACCCGACGCATTATACCTTGCGCTCGACACAGGGGTCTTCTAGAGAGGTAATTGTTCTCTGTCTCCCATCACGCCCGGCATGGATATTTGGCGCTCGGCTCAAGGTCTTCCAGAGAGCTCTATGTCTCGATTGGTTCCCAACTCGGGCACTATTATGCCCGACGCGTGTCTTCTAGAGAGTTCAAGTACTCTTTGTCGTGAGCTACGCCCGGCGCGGATGTTCTTGTGCCCAACACCCTACTAAAATGCAAAGTAAGTTGCTCTCTGTGTTGTACACGCTCGGCTCGGGTAGTCTTGCGTCTGGCGTGGATACTCTTCTCCTGCTCCTTAGCTCCTTAGATTTTCAATCCTATGGGTCTTCAACCTCACTCTTCAACTCAATACTTACACAAAAAATGAGGTGTATCAAGGTATTGTCAGATGATTTTTGGGTTAGCTATATCTGCACAAAATTGAATCAAAAGAGAACATTTGTATTACAAGAGTGCATGGAGCGAGTGAAATTGTTCAATAATCCCTATCTAAAAAGAAGTGTAATTGAGACTTAACAACTCCCCCAAACTTAAAACCTTGCTTGCCCTCAAACAACAGGTAATTGATCTGGCAGATACCAAGTAATGCATGTATGTCAAATTCCTAAATTCTAGCTTACTTGGATTTTCTTTGCACGACCTTAGATGAACTTTCAGTCACAATTATTGCAATAGAACATGACAAGGTGCAAACAAAGGTTTCAAAAGAGATTAAAGGGCTAAGGAAAGTTAATGATCATCCATGAATGCATCCTCACTAGGGAGGTGTTTCTCTCTGTGCACACTGGTGTATCGGGGTGAGTGTTTATCTCAAATCTACTACTCACACCACATAATTCAACTTTGCTCTCTGTTTCCAAATGGAATCAATGATAATGCTAATGCAGGCACTTATCACAAAGTCTTTATTAGGGCAGTTTGGGTCAAGCAATAGCAATCTCATAATTTGTCAAGGATTAAAAGTGCTATGCTTAAGAGAGCAATTGATATTTTTACAATGATATCCCTCTCCCTAACCCAATACAACATTTTAGAACATGCCCTTAACTAGACCCAAGCCCCTAGCCTTTATGTGATGCATATTTTCATTTTTGCATCCTTATATTTTTGTTTTGTTTTCTCTATTTTTTTTTTTGAAACAATGACCATATACTTCCCTTTTCCCAGAAACCCTTATTCTTCAACTCTCCCAAACTTGTTTCGTGTCATCAATTACTCTCTTAACCAAAGCAAGAGATATAGTTAATTTTTCACAATTTGGGATAAGTAAAAGGTGTGGTGTTTAGGCTTAGGAAGTTATGGGTCAAGTGAAATGTGGAGGTGGCTCTTTGGCTTAGATGGTTAGCAAAACAAGAAAATATGAATGTCTTGATAATATAAATGCACAACATTAGCAAACCACCACGGAAACTCAAGCAAAGCCTATCATGCAACTTAAGCGTAGTTCACTCATCAGCATTCAGGGCCTCAAAACCTCACCCGACTATACATCCAAAGATTATCAAACTTGGCTTAGTACTATGATCAACATTGAAACCCGTATGCAACTAGTCATGAACTAAAGTTCTAACGTGAACCAAAAATGTCTAAAGTACGTGCACCACAAACATCAAGCAAACCACAATCCAGAATTGGCCACAACACAGCAAGTACGAATAAGATCAATAACCGTGCTATAAGCAGAATAGTCACAAAAAGTAAACCAACCAGAATAATCACAAAAACACTAAATCTAACCACAAAGTTTGAAACAAGAACAACTAAATCAAAGCTAAATCACTGAAAATAAAAGACAAAAATAAACTACAATAGACATAAAGGTGAACTAAGGTAGACTCCATTTGCATCCGTCTATGGAGCCTGTTCATCATCATTTCCGGGGTCTGCTCCACCCTCATCCACACCATCAACATCATTAGCAGCAGCTCCACCCCCCCTAAAGAAAGGGTCTTGGTCCCCAAGCCAACCAGTATAGGCATGATAATCCGCAACAGAAGGGAACTGGTAGCTGGGAGCGGTCGCGGAGTGTAGAGCAAAACTCCGAAAGACATCCAGAAGGAAGAGCTGGCCGCGGTGGAGGGACTCCTGTTGCAGCATTAAAGTGTCCAACCGACCCTCAAGAGCGTCAAAACGCTGATGGAAAGTGAGTGGAGGGTCCGGTGCAGGAGCATCATCCATGGGCATGTCCTCTTGGGGTCCAGCAACGTGAATGGGCTCCGGCACAACAGCAGGTGGCAAACGATCCTGGCAATAAGTAGAGATGTAACGATTATCAATCGCCCGGCCAGGACCCTCAAATGGTGGTGCATGGACATCCACACCAGCAAGTTGACATAACTGAGTGATTAGGGAGGGATGTCCAAGGGCTGCGGAGGGTGATGCATTGGCGCAGTTAGAAATCTCCACGCAGATAATGAAGCCAATGTCCACGGTCCGCCCGGTCATAATGCAATGCATCAGCATAGCCCGACTCCAATGTAGGTCAGAGACATGCGAGCAGGGGAGGATGTTGGCATGGATCAACGCTGACCAAATCCTCGCCACAGGGAGTAGATCACGACGCTTCACGTGCAAGGGTTGTTGAGCCCGGTTCCTATGAAAGCTAGTACCCGGCATGCACATCGTAGCCTCTGCCACCTCGACCGCTATTGCCCCGCCTTCAAATTGCCCATACTCACATTGCTCATCAGGTCGTAGTGTAGTCCCCAAGAATTTATTAATCGTGTGGGCATCAAAGGGGACTCGCACACCCCGCACATAGCTGGTATAGGGAACAATAGCCTCCTCTGGTCGTAGGGCATTGGCATAAAACTCTTTGACCACAGCAATGTTGGCCGGAAGGGGGTAGGAGCCAAGCTTGTCCCAATGGCGCCTGGTGAGCTCATTCTGGAACTCAGGGGCCTCATCATCCTCTAATTCAACTCGCCTCTCCAGGATGAACTTCCTACTGCTCACCGTAGCAAAATAAGTCTCGTTGTGCTTGGTGAGGAATTGGCGGGAGTAGGGTCGGCTAGGCTTGCGAGGAGGCAGACCAGGTTGATCCGAGCGAGGACGCTTGCTTGAGGATGCCATCTGTATAACATAAGACAAGAGATCCCAGACAGAAAAGGTGAGCACAACACGGTATGCAATGATGACTACTTACAATATGGCAAAATGAAGACTATTCTAGACCAAAATTAAATATAACATAGAAGTAAAAGGCAATGGACTGAGACAATACAACATAAAGCACAGGCCTAACATAGCATATGCAATTAGTGTGGTTAGTTAATTCATGCATGATCCTAAAGAGACAAGCTCAACAAACTCTAACCATGCAGTCTAAATTAGCCAAAGTGTACCATCTTGCTCAAGCTTAGGAAGAAGCAATCTTAAGAAAGTGAATAAGGAATCTAACTCAACCTTACAAAATCAGCTAATAATGTAAGAATTGTTTCCCACTTATATACACTAGTTTATCTTTATTTCTAGTTGATATAAGATCTCCAACACACATCTCTCACATCGAAGACTAAACATCTTAAACGTGAAGTTTACATGAGTAAACATTTGCAGGTGATCCGATAGTGAGTGGCACAATACGCCAAGCAAAAATCAATAATCACTAGGATATAGGCTTTGATACATCTTAAGAGAGTGGATTAGAAGCGTAACTCAACCTTAAAAAATTGGGTAGTAAGGTGAGGATTGATCTCCACTTACATACACTATTATGATTGATGTGAGATCTTCAACAGGTAACAAGTCAAACATAACAATGTTATACCGAGGTAATAACATTACTCTAGGAAAAAACTTAGATTCAATTCTTTAGATGTTTCTAGTACTATTCAACGGTTAGAATTATAGTTTCACCTCATTCAGCAATCCACATAATTAATGTTAGCATAATAGGTTGAGCATAATTTACAAAGATGAAACACCAATTCCAATTGAAAAACTAACACCAAAAACACTAAAGGAATTGCATCCAAGTTTTATCCTATTCTGTGAGGCCTTAGAGACTGGTACCACAGTTCAAAACAAGTCTGATAGTGCCGCCAGAAACAAGAAACAGTGCACAATCAACCCATAAGAAACTGAACAATCAAACATCAAAGTCGTGCCCACCAGAATACAAAGCAAAAGCGGAGTACAAAAATACCTTATGGGCAGGTGGAAGCTTCCTGTAAGACCTCTCAAAAGTGAAAAATAAAAGCTTTGTTCCCTCCAAACCAGAGAATTAATAATTGCACAACGATTTATCGCGCCCTCTGTTGTATAATTCATAAAATAAATAAATGAATAAATAAATAAAAACTTTGCAACAAAACAAACGGTTTCTTGCTATGGGTTTAGATGAACATGGTCGACTATGCAGTGAAACCGTTCCAATCAACTACATGTTTATTTTTCACTTGACACACGAAAATAAAACCAAACGGTGAAGTAGAAAAATAAATAAATAAAAACTCCTTCACTTGTTTTTTCTTTGGGGAACATTTTGCGGTTGCTATTAAATCTTTTATTGAAAAAAAATAAAATAAAAAGCAACAGTGTATTTTGGCTAAGATGGTCGAATGGGCATTTTAAAAACCGAAGGGAAGGAGCAATACTTGAGGCAAGCACTAATGATGCGTCTGAGGGAGTGGATTTCAAGGGCCTCTTCGAGCTTTAAACGACGACGTTGCTCCTCCTCTGCCTCTTCCATCACCGTTTCTTCCTTCCTCGGTCTTTGAACACTATACTCTACCCAGCACAGCAGAGGAAGAATATAACAAAATAATAATAAAATAGCAGCTCATGTAGGATATAGGGTCCAACTAATTGGGCTTCATCGAGCAGTGAAGGCCCAACCCACTGGCCTTCATAAAATAAATTAAATATTATAAATAAATAAATAAAATCTACCTCAACGGCTCAACCCCACACTGCTATAGCTTTGTTCCTAAAATCGTATATAGCCGCAAATCTCTATAATTTAATTTATCTGCTTCAATATATGGGGATTGTGATTAAAATTTCTCCCTCCAAATTTCAGCGTATGTTCAAAAATTTGCTTTAGGAGTTTTATTTATAATTTTCCTTAGGACTTTTATTTATATTTTTTTTCATTAATACGTATAATAATAATTGAACCAAAATGGAGCACAAAGACATGTGTCTCTCAACTCCTACATAATAACCTTTACGTCGATTCAGTAATGAATTCAAAAATTTTAAGTAGTGAAGATAATATTTAATTACATAAATTTTTATAATTTATGGTGTTTAAAATATAAAATAAAATTTTTATAAAGACAAATGCAATCCATAATTGTTCTTTGTGGGTTTTCATAACTTGAAAACATTAAATGATTTGTTCATTTTTAATACTACAAAAAATCTCTCTCTCTATGTAAGTAACTAAACAATCATTTAATCATTCATCTCTATTTCGCATCTAATTCTTGATGATATTCGTAACAGAAAAAACTCTTTCAACTGATATAGTTGTCATTGGTAGTATCAAGGTTAGCTCTAAAAGTAAATACACCAACGGATATACAACATATTTTCTTATCTCCACAAGCTTCATAAAAAGATCACCAATCCTTTCTAATTTTGAAAAAGCACTGTCAAAATATATAGTTGTGAAATAATTTTCAAGTTGGTTATCTAATAACAAAAGTTCAATAGGAGAAAAATTCAAAACAATAAGATTGAGCAAATCGAATCAACTTCTCCTTGTCAAATGTACAAAATAAATCTCTTGGATTTAAGCATGCTACACAAAGAAGCAACTCGATATTTACTTCTGTTAAACGGTTGTTTAACATTTGGAGTTGTCGATCAATCACTTAAAAAAATAATTGAACTTGAAAATGGTGTAGATTAGAAACTTGTTCTACTTTGAGCCTTGACCTTCCTTGTGTTTCAAAAGTGTCTTTCATATTTAGAACCACAATGTTAAGTTTTTCACGAAATGATGAAACATTATTGAGCAAAGAAGACCAAGCATCATCTCTCATTGCTTGTAATCTTTGTTTGGACACTAAAACTAATTTCATAGCACTTCCAATATATTGATTACTTCTTTGCAATGCTTGAGATAACTCATGAGTAATCCCTAAAATATTTTTCATCAAGTGCAGGTGAAAATAAATTCAAAAGTTTGCATAGAATTCAATAAAGCACATGCTTCACCCTTTTGCTCTAAACTTATGTCATCTTCCTCAACTATTTCAAGCACATCAATCATAGAAGGGAACAAGGAAAGTAGACTAAGTAATGTACCATAATGTGAGGTCCATCTAGTATCTCTCGCCTTCTTGATTGTAGTTTCTTGATTCAAGCCACATCCACTAGAGATTCTCCATTCTGCAATGTCTTTTTCACCTTTGCAATTTGACTTTCTCGAATAATATCTCAACACCTACATGATGCTCCAACAACATTAGAAATATTAGCAACCAAGTTAAAAAATAATGCAACTCCAACATATTTTTTTTTGCCACTGTAACAAGAGTTAATTGAAGTTGATGGACAAAACAATGAATATAAAATGCAAAACAGTTCTTTTTTAATATCAAGCTCTTGAGACCATTAAATTTACCTTGCATATTACTTGCTCCATCATATCCTTGTCCACGCAACCTTGATAAATTTAATCCATATTTTGAAAACAATGACTCCAAAGCTATTTTTAATGATAAAGCATTAGTATTAGAAACATTAACAATATCAAGTATAGATTTAGTATTTTCACTAGCTGCAGATCTAACTATCTTTTTGTATTGTAGGAGCTATCAATTTTAGTTTTCCATGAACATTTTTTTTATCACTTTATGAATAACTTCATTGTGGTCAACAAGAAAATCTAAAAGTTCAAGAAAATTTTCCTTATTACTTGATAACATTGACTCATCATTACCATGAAAAGCTAATCCTTGGCATAATAAGAATCAAATATAATCAACTATTGAAGTCAAATGAATTTGATATTCCTTTTTAGTTTGATCATACTGCTTACACATTGTAACTTCAATATGTTGTTTTTGTTTCATCAAAGATTGACAATTCCTTCATGCTTGATTATGAAAATTATTTAGACCTCCAACATAAATTTGAAACCTCTCACTTTTTTTTTCAAATTTGTAAAACCTTCAGTTATGAATACATCACCACTATCTTTGTGTTCCCCCAACATGTGATCTCAAAAGATAATAATATAAACAATATGTTGCATCCTCCTTTTGACTATATTCTAACCAACTTCCATATTTTAAATACTAATCCGGATTAAATTTACTAATGGTATCTCCAAATTGTCTTTGTGAAAAATTTATCTCTTTTGGTTGTCAAAGGCCCTTTTACAAATAATATCTTCCAATTTCATCTCTATCACTCGGAAGATAATTTGAAATTTTTGGCCTTAGACAAGGATCATCAAGAAGCTTTTCCAAATCACATTCTAAAAATCTTTTCTTGGTAGATGGACCCAATTTGACTTCTTTTTCAACAGGTATTTGAGGAGAAGATGATTGCTCTGAAAATGATTTTCTTTTAAAATACATTTCCATTACTACAACTAAAATCAATATAATTTTAACTAATGTAATGTTCATAACATACAATGTTTCTTCTAAACATAAAAATAAAATAAGTAGATAAAAATTAAAATATTGAATTTGTCATTGAAAATTAAAAATAATTCTAATAAAGTAATATTAAAAATAGAACTTTAAATACACTAACCTCAAAGATCACTTTAAATATATAGTTTGGCTATTGAAACATGAAGGACTAGAGATGGAAGAAGAAGTTTTTGTTTTTTTTTTCCAATTTCACTCTTCCACACTTTAAAATATGTTAGAGGTAAAGTGGAACCTCAAAATATGAATAAAACTAGAAAAAGTAAAAATATAAAATATAAAATATTCAAAAAGAAGTTAGTAACAACTTACGTTTTTTTCTTGATTTACTTGAAATACATACACTATTATTTTTTAATTTTTTTTATCTTAATTTAAAATTTAAATGCATAATAACTTTTTTTCTTTCTAAAACAAGTATTTTGTAGTTAACTTTTATAACATATTCCTGTGAGAGCTTTCACTCTCTCCGTTCGTGAGAGTTTTTTCCTCTTGTGTGAGCAATTAAACTCGTAGTCGCTTCTCCGATTTCTCTCTCATAATCATTTCTTCTTCTCGTAGTTGTTGCAGGGTTTCTTTTTCACCTCTTATTCATCATGATTGATTTTACGTATCTTTTTGTACATTTCTCATTATTTTTTGCTACCTGTATGCGTTTCTTGTAGTTTCTTTACGTAGTCCTGCTTGCATTACATATTAAATATCTCTCATTTTATTTGATTTCTTTTTTGACAATTTTTGCATGAACTTTCTCTTCATACTTTTGAATCTTTCAAGATCTTTTATCATTTCACCATTTCTTTCTTTTTTCATTCTTTTCTCTTTCTGGACTTTTTCATTTTTCTTGTTCACCATATTTTCATGTTGTATATTCGACGTAAAGCCTAGTTTAAGAAATCATCTCAGGCTCTCTTAGAACCATCTTCGCATCTTTGCATGTGACTTTTTTTTTTCTTTCTTGCTTTCAATTTATATCGCTGCAAGTTTTTTCTTTTAAAACTTTGTCTACAAAACATTAAGTCAATATCTGATTCCGTTAAAACTATGGACTCCCTGGATGAAAATTTTGAAGGCTTAATCATCAAAGACGATGATGACGGAGGTACCTCTAACCTGGTTAACTTGAGTCATGTGGGTCGTTTCCTTACTAAAAGACCCATTTGTACTCATATAATGAAGATTCGTATGGCTAGCATATGGCGTCCTGGTAAAGGCGTTTCTATTTCTGAACTTAAACCAAGTGTCTTTTTATTTCAGTTTTATCATCCTTTAGATCTTAAGCATGTCCTTGATAATGGCCCCTGGAATTTTGAAAACAACATCCTTATTGTAAGCAAAATTTTTGAAGGTGATATTCCAAAAGATATCCCTTTAAACCACGTAGATGTTTGGGTTCAAGTTCATAATTTACCTGCAGGTTTCATGTCTCAAAATATAGGTGAACTTCTAGGAAATAGCCTAGGAATTTTTATTGACTATGACTCCAAGCACAATGCCTCTTTATGGAAATCCTACATGTGTATATGCATCAAAAAAGACATTTGTTCCCCTCTGGAAAAATATAAGAAAATTAAGAAACAAGGTGGAGAATGGAAGACCGTTATTTTTAAGTATGAAAAAATTGGCCAGTTTTCTTATTTGTGGTATTCTAGGTCACAATGACAAGTTTTGTCCAAGACTCTTTGAACAAGAAGACGATGATGGCATTCGTCTTTGGGGCCCAGAACTGCGTGCTGATCTTCGCCAAATCCCAAACTTCGGAGGAGAACGATGGCTTTGGGATGAAAATAATACCATAAATGATAACTATAAATATCAAGATAACATGCGTGAAATTGCGGATCCTACCAATGACTTGCACCCACACGCTAATGAGGTTATCGTTGGAACTGATAAGAAACATAGAAGACAGGAACCTAGTATCAACCTAGAACATCATAAAGATTCTGTTCAAGCTGACATGGATGACTCTAATGAAAACAACAATCTAACTTTTTTATCTGCAATCCCTAGCACTGAGGGCTGCCAGGAATTATGAGTTTAACAAGCTGGAATTGCCGTGGAATCAAGCACAAGCGTTCAATTCCAATATTACGGGACCTTACCCGCTCATATAAGCCTGATATACTCTTTTGAGTGAAAC